TCGAAAATCGACGCTGTGGAGGCGAGCAAAAAGGATTTCATTGATGACATCAATGACATCAGCAGAAGGATTTTAGCACTAGAGGATGCTGGGGCTTTTGCTATTATCGTGAGCGGAATTTCTTTTTCTTTTTTTTTTTTTCAAGCACTAAATAAATGGATTCATTACCGCCTCCATTATCCAAATTATTAGTCTCGTGATGCTGCTTCTGTCTGTATGATATATTGTTCCGAGATATTTTGAAATGAGGAATAATTGAAGGAGAAATCATTTTATTCAAGGATTATCAGACAGCTTCAATGAGATACGAAATCATAAACTTGTACAGAAATTATAAATCCTGCGATGGTTTCGAGCCCTTGTTTTTTTTTCTTGCGAGAAGAATTTCTTATATTTTTCCAGCTTCTTTTGATGCTCATCAATTAGATTTTGGATCAATTTCAATTTCCATTTGAAGATAATCAGAAAAAAATTAAGTTGCTTTCATTGGAAATTATACTGGCTTTCCCTCTGGCATAAATGTTTGACACCTTCAAGCACTTCCTATTAAAGGATACTATGTCTTCTAAAATTTTAGGTCCTAGGCTTTACACATATAAGACGTTGTGTTAAAAAAAAAAAGTCTTACCTTGTAGAGGCCAATAGAAACACAATCATCTTCGGGATGCATTGCCATTTGCAAGAAACGGCCTTGTCCAGGTCATGGCCAAAAAGCTGATCGCTGAAAGGTATATGTTGTTGATTTTTTAAATTAAATTACTCATCAGCTCAGTTTTAAGAAGCAACTCATGGTCAAAAATCAATGGGGAAGTAATTACTATGCTACCAATTCCGGATGAATTAAAACAGGTATTTTCTAGCTTCCCTTTGCGCAGTAAAAAAAATATTGTCCAGTAGAGGACATATTTTTCAAAGGTATACAAAGTTGAATTTTTTTATATTCATCAGCTCAGTTTTAAGAAGCAACTCATCATCAAAAATCAATGGGGAAGTAATTACTATGCTACCAATTCCGGATGAATTAAATCATGAATCTTCTAGCTTCCCTTTGCGCAGTAAAAAAAATATTGTCCAGCAGAGGATATATTTTTCAAAGGTATACGAAGTTGAATTTTTTTATATTCATCAGCTCAGTTTTAAGAAGCAACTCATTGTCAAAAATCAATGGGGAAGTAATTACTATGCCACCAATTCGAGGTGGATTAATTCATGAATTTTTTAGCTTCTCTCTGCGCAATAAAAAAACAATAAATTACGGTAAAGGAATATTTTTGAATCGTTCTTCATTGAAATTGCGGCTTTTCTTTCAAACCCTCATTTGATATTATACATGATGAGAATGGAGTATATTTCTTGGACCAACATCAGATCTCTCCAATTTTAAATTAATCAGCTTCAGAGACCTAAAATGAATTTTTTTGTAAGCCTTAAGTTGTTGCAGCAAGATTATACTGTATATTGATCTATCTCTTCCAAAACCTGAATTGTGTTCTTATAAATATGTTCAAAGATGCATAACATGTATCCTTTTCTATGTGTTCTGGGGTTTATGCAATTTTTCAGAATTTTAGGGCAAACATACATAAGAAGAAATTGAATTTTTTGTGGAGGGCCAAAATGAGGCATTTGTTTCAGGGGTTTTTTTTTTAGTTAGAAAAGGTTTTACAGTAGTTTATAATGTTTAGAAAACTTAGTTCCTTATGTCCTGTGCTGTTTTAAGAATTTTGGACTGTTTTCACTGAATCAACCCTGTAGACATGTTTGACAAAATTTTAATTTTTCTTTATACACATGCAGTTTCATAAAACATTCCTTTTTCAATTTTAGCAATTATTGCAAACTTCAGGAAAAGAAAGAAAAAACCCAAAAACATATAATATAGATATACAAAAATAGTGTTAGTTTGCTAACATTTCAAGATAAACTTATTTTTGCAAACAAAAAAAGTTGAGGGGTTGTTAAACCAGTTTGCAGTTGCTGAGTATGTTAAAGCTGTTTTTTGATGACCACAGGTGTTGTTGAGCGAATTAAATAGTAACTGGGCCAGTTTTGAAGCAGGGGCCCACAGTAATTTTTAAAATTACTCCAGACACTTCCAATCCAACACAGGTTGAAAATGGATCCAGAAACAGCAGGAATGAAGATGCACAGGGTGGGTTTCAGAGGCTCCTTGCTTGAGTCCACCTGCTACCCACAAGAATCCTCCTTCAAATGTGACCCTAATGCTCACTTTAGGTCAATCACAGGAACCTGTAACAACCTGGCCCATCCACTGTGGGGCAGTTCCATGACTCCCCTGGCCAGAATCCGACCAGCTTACTACAGTGATGGTATGCCAATCCATTTTTTTACAAGAGTCAATAAAATGTGGATTGGTAAAACAAATGCTTTCTTCTCAACATGTGTCCGTTCCATAGACCCGTATGTCCTTTTGATGATTTCCACGTCTGGACGGTAACGGTTCCTTACATTCGTACGTAAACCGTTCCGTACACAGGTTAGGTAGGAAACATGATAGAAACGACGTTTAATGTTTTGGACAGTTTATTGCTCATGACATTTCTGGTGTCATGGGACAAACAGGTATGTTTTCAGAGATACAGGTGGTACCTTGAAATTCAACCCTAATCCATTCCCTAACTAGGGTCAAATTGCAAAATGGTTGAATTGCAAGACACTATAAAATCAAGGGCAAACAGCACAAAAATACTAGAAAAGTTAAAACAGGTTGAATTTTGGAAAAGAGGTCAAATTTCGAGTTGACCTAAAAGCAAATTCAACTGTCAAATTGCAAGGTACCACCTGTAATACCTCATTTTAATTTTTGTATTTAAAAAAAATTGTCATGAAATATCCAGATGGGTCTGGGCAAAGTTTCTTGTGCTGCTCAAGTGGAAGACCAGTGAATGTCAGAATCCAACATCCATCTTGTGAGAACATCATCATACCACAAGATGATGAGTTCTACTCAAGGTTCAGGTTGGACTGTCTCAATTTTGTCAGGTCACAAGTGGCTCCAAAGCTATCTTGCACAGCAGGCCATCAAGATCAAGTAAATACTACATGATTCAAAAAGAAAAGCTTCTGTTTTGTCAAATGATCATGCAACAAAATTCACAGCTCAATACCCTTACCTCATACTTGGACATGTCACAAGTTTATGGCAACACTGACAGAGCAGCTGGTTTTGGGAGACAATTTATGGGAGGAAGGTTGAAATCTTCTTTTGTGAATGGAAGACACCTGTTGGCAGTTGCACCAGGAAGTGGAGACTGTGGTGACACAAACATGCCATGCTTTGTAACAGCTGGTATAATTTCATCATTCTACATATGGAAAATTACAGGCAATATCAGACCCTATGCTTGTATTTGAAAGGTGATTCCAAGGTGAATATGATTCCCAGCACAACAGCAATGCACTTATTATGGGACAGAGAACATGACAGAATAGCCATGGAACTGCAAAAACTCCACCCAACTTGGAGTGATGAAAGAGTGTTCCAGGAAGCCAGGAGGATCACTGTTGCAATCTACCAACACATATTCCTCAATGAATACATCCCTACAATTTTTGGGGCAGATATCATCCAGAAGTACAACTTGGATGTCAAGCCAGGTGGAAATTACTCATGCTACTACAACAAAGAAGTGAATCCAACTGCATCCAATGAGTTTAGCGCTGCAGCTTTCAGATTTGGGCATTCACAAGTCCCTGACTTCTTTTTGTGAGTCCTCCAAGAATCACAAATATTGCATTTCTACCTCATTCCATATAAAAAAGGCAATTTCAGAAATGTTGGAAGTGAATTAACAAAAAATGAAAATACAGGGGCATCAACCTTTCCGGATAGAAATGCTCCTAAGTTCTGTGGGTCAATGTCAAGACTTGGAACAAAACTCTGTTTTTTTTAAAGTACACTTGGGAAAACAATCCTGAAATGTCTTGCTTTTCAATTGACATTCAGTGAATAGTGCACCATTTTATTCAGCATCATGGGCAAGAAAATGCCCAAATGTGACCAAACACTGACTGATTGATAACCATGGTACAAGTACTGATTTTTACCACGGTTATCAAATCTGGAACATAGTCATCCATAATATTTTTGACATTATTTCGAATATCTGACCAACCTTCAACCATCAAGTACAGTATTAAAAATATGGACAAGCTTTACGCAGGTAAACTTTATTTCCTCAAAGTTATCCATTCTGACCTTCATCTCTGCTTTTCCTCAATTTCAACATAATACCTGAGCAAAAATTGGCCAATTGGCCAGAGAATTATCAAATACTTATCTGTAAAAATAACTTTGACCTTATCAACTCAAAGAGATAATCATCAGACTGACAAGCATGTTGAGCCAATCCTTGTAATTGCAAAACTTTTAAATGATGAACTAAAAATTAAGCTTGTTTCTTTTTATTTTTGTTGAGTAACTAAATCATTTGAAGATATCTCAAAGAATTTCAAATTTAAATCACGCAAATAAAAAGTCATATGTTTGGAAATTTTCTGAAACATGAGAAATATCTGAAGAACACAACGGAGAAGTTTTAGTGGATTTTTTTCAAAAACACAAAAACGGGTTTTTTTAATTTTATAGATTATTTGATGACTTGGAGCTGGCAGATGAATTAGTTGGAGTCCACAAGACCTTCATGAAACCCGGCCCGCTGATTTATGATGGAAAAAGGTTCACAAAGTTCGTCAGAGGCCTGATGTTGCAGCCAGCACAGCAAGTGGACAACTTCGTCTCCAACGCAGTGAGTGAGTGAAGATTATTCGCATTTTCCCAAACCCATCAGAAAAAAAAAATAGCTCCACAAATGACGCTTTTCTTTCAAAACCTCAGCTAACAACTCAGCTACTTAGAGGCCCTAATGGGGCATTTGGAGGGGATCTAATCGCAATCAACATCCAAAGAGGGCGTGACCACGGGTTGCCTCCATACATAGACATGCTGGAGGCATGTGGGTTACCCAAGCCCAAGGGTTTCGCAGACTTGGAACCGCTCATGGGCCCAGTGGTAAGTCAATACCTATGCCCATCAGAAGAAATTTAATTCAAGTCCCTAAAAAAGGACCTAGAAAATGAAAGTTAACGCAATGGACATTTAAAAATGGAAAACCCCTTTCGCAAATATTGTAAATTAAAAGTCACAACGAATGTGTTGAGACTTGGGTAAAACGCTTTCCTTTAACAAAGAATTAGTTCTAAAGTGATTTGAATAACATTGTGATTATTGGACAGGGGCCTGAAAAATGAATTCATGGTATGTTAGCATTTGCTATAACAAAATTGTACTAGTAAATTTAATCATAAATGAGTGAAGAATAGTTTAGGTCAGTGTTTCCCAACCCCTGGTACGTGGACCAGCAAGAAATTTGTTGCCTGTTTGCAAGACAATAATAATATCCAGACAATAATAATAATAAATTCATCAAAAGTAAAAATTACGTAAATTACAGTACTTCATTTTTTTTTATTCTGAGGAACCTTTTTTCAAACCCACTTTTCTAATGTTTTGAAGACATTCCACTACAGTTGCTGCATTGGTTCTCAACTTAATTTTTGCAATAAAAACAGAAACTTTCTAAATACCTGCCATGAAGTCTGTCAAACAAAGCTTTTCTTAGTCTGCACAAATTTTATGAAACGTTGCTGTTTGCAGAACATTTTTTGAAATTTTCTCATTTAGGAAAAGTTTTATGGAAATTTGCTGGTTTGAGGGCCCAAAATGGTTGGGTAGCACTGGTTTAGGTTATTTGCCAAGAAAGCGGATGAGAAAAGAGAACATCTGTTTGAAGCAACAATAAAACTTTAATTTGACAACTCTCAAAGCGAATAATTTTTGATAATTTTAATTTTCCAATTCAAAGAGCTTGAAGGTACGAGGGGAAAATTCTGAGGGGAAAGCTGGGCTACAACAAAAAAAGGGTGCCTCATTTTTTGAGTGGAGAGCAAAACTCTACATGGATGAATTTTGCAAAAAATTTTAAAAAAATCGTCAAACCGGGCTGATTTTTTTTTTGTGTGCCAAAGAATATTTTTTGGCTAGAGAATAAATTTTTTTCAGCTCAATTGTATGCCATTTTCATTGCTACTCCGAGAACTTTTGTTAGAGCCCTCGTATATACAGCATTTCGCAGGTTATATTTTACAAAAAAATAATTTCAATTTAATTTAATTTTCATCATCGAATTATGAAAAATTAAAATTTTTCGTTTTTCTCCCAACAACCTCAGAAAGTGAACGCGTTGTCGAGAATTTATGCTGACGCAGCCGACATAGACTTGTACGTTGGGGGACTGTTTGAAAACGCATCAAAGGACTCTGTCTTCGGACCTACATTCGCCTGTATTATTGGGGACCAGTTCCAGAGATCCAGAGCAGGAGACAGGTTCTTCTATGACAATGCGCCTGGGGGCATGTGTGGGGCCAACAGCACTGGGAACCCAGCCCCCTTTACACAGAGTGAGACTTTGCTTAAATGCAGTAATTGTCAACTCTCAAATGCAGAACTCAAAATTTTGAAGGAATCAATTTATGTTTTTAGGGGACAATTCATTTTACAATTAAGTTGGACCTTAATATCACAAACTTCCCAAAGTCAAATATTTCAAAGATGTTTGTCTGAATTCCTATAAAAACTAATCTATTATATAGACCTTCTCAACTTGAAGAATTTCCCCCACAAACGTTTCTGACTCAAATTTTTGGGAGGCTTTGGGCTATTGTTTTGGGGACTGAAGAAGGAGAAAATCATTTAAAATGTATATTAGTGTCCTTCCAGAAGGAAATTAGTAATTAATGGTGCAAATAGGAATCTTTGCCTCCAAGTTGAGCATCCAGTCAATACATTCAAGAAGCAGTGTAAGGCCCAGAATATCTCAAGTTTCAAATTCATGCAATTATTATTTTTCCCTCCAACAAAAATGATTCTTTTCTTGAAGAGGCTTGACTTTACTTCAGAATGAATGAATGAACAGAGCACTTTATTTGCCGCTTTTCAGCGTTCACAAGGCACAATACCAAGACTCCCACATCCAAACCCCCTTCCCACCCAACCCAATTCCCTCAAAGACATTCAATCACTTCAAAGCAGGAAACAAAGCACAAATTGATGAGATTTACTTCAGAGATAATGACAATTTTGATGGAGTGTACTTTTACAGGGTTCCTGGTAGTTTGATGTGAACAACTCCATTTTTAAATGTTTGGTAAGGGGAAAATGTCCCCATCCCCATGCATTGACAGGAAATTTCTGATATGATCTGAAGACTTTAAAGTTTGGAAAAAAACTCATTTGATGGAATTTTCTGGTGGGGGGCTTCATTGATGATTTGAACCCTTGTTCAGGACAGTTGGAAGAGATCAGGGAGAAAGCATCTCTTGCAACTCTGCTCTGTGACCATGGAGAAGGCATTGGGTTTGTTTCCAAGAACCCCATGAAACTCAGAACTTCTAGGTATAAGCCTTGAAATTCCACCCATTTTTTTTAATGTAATCTAAACAAAATTCTCTCAACAAACCACAGGAATCTGAAGATAGACTGCAAAGAGCTTCCCAGAATGGATCTCACAGTTTTCCTGGACACACAAGCAAGAGAAGACAGAGCTATAAACTTTGCAGATGGGCAACAACCTGCAAATCCCACTTCCCAGACTTTCTTGACCCCTGGACTCAGCAACAGTCAGCTTTTAAATGCCTTGTCAGCACAACCAATTCAAAATTTTGGACAAACCAATGTCAACCCTGATCCTGCCTTGAGAAATCAACTTCAGCCTCCAGAAAAAAATCAGAATGCCCAGTCTGTTGACCCATTCCAAAGGGGTCAAACAGCACCAAACACTCAGACTCTTGGTCCAACACAAGGGGGCCAGTTTCAACCTCAGCCAACTGCACAAGGTGCTGATCCCTCACAGAGAACACAATTTCAAACAAATCAGAATACATCACCAAGCTCTGGATTTGGTTTCCAGCCACAACCTGGGTCTTTTGGGCTACAAAATGCTACAGCAAGTGCAAACCAGCAGCCAACAAGGACTGCACAAAGTGCTCAATCAATTGGTCAACAACAGCAAGGAGCACCAACTAAATCCAGTGGACAACAAGAATCACTCCTGAAAAGCTCAATCAAAGAGCAAGGAACTAAAACTTTAGCACCAAATTTGGATAAAACCCTGACAGAGCAGAAGTCTGCATTAATTGATCAGCAAGGAACCCAGACTGTCATCCAAAAACAGAAACTTGTTCAACCCCAGCAGCAGCAACAACAACAAAGCTCCCAGCAGCAGCAATTCCAACAGACTCCCCAGCAGCAAAATAATAACCAGCAACAGCAGAAATTCCAACAGAGTCCCCAGCAAAATATTAACCAGCCACAGCCAAGTCAAAACTTTTACCAAGGTGCCACCCAGTCTCAGCAATTCCAACCAACACAACAGTCTTTCCAGCAGATCCCCATTCAGTCACAGACTCTTCAGCCAATTTACAGACAAAGACCATTTGGACCTACTCAGCATCAACCCTTAGTCCTACAAAGACCCAACACAGACACCATTTTCACTCACAGACCAGCTCAACCACGTACTTACCCCCAGGCAAAACCATCCAGACCCAGTAGAAATAAACCCAGAAGGAGGTTGAGACCCAAAAATTCCAACCTACCCACAGGTGAGTTACAAACTCAATCCCTAATATAAGAATTATTTTAAAAATTGTCATAACACAAATTTCAGATGCTTATCGACGGCAAGTTCAAGCCTTGCAGCGTCAGCGATACACAAGAGAAATTGCTCATGATCTGGATTCGAGTCTGAATCTTGACGAGTCCTGGGAGGACACTTTTCAGCTAGAAAACAGTCAGGAATGAAGAAACTCAAGCTTTTTGAGCCATCAATGCAAGTGCATTTCAGAGAGTAAAATATATATACATTGGCGGAAAATCAGACAATCTATTCGCGGTCGTATTTTTCCTCAAACCTGAATAAAAACTATTCACATTTTTTGGACGTTAAAAAAATTCAAGGAGTCCGTTTTTCAAGAAAAATCGAATTTCTGGTCGATGAAAAACGATTGTTTGACAGAGGCGACGGAATTTTCTATCTTTTGAGACCCATTATATGGCCCCGCATAAATTGATTACGAAGTGAAAGCGAAGTTTTGCATGGAAAGCGAATATTTTCAATACAAATTTCATCTACTTCAACAACAATTAAAAAATCCATGACACCATGAAATCTACAAATACAGTAAGTCATGTATATTTTTTGCAGTCTGAGGTAAAAGTACTGATTCCACAAAAACTAATTCAAATGCTGAAAGCTTATTTTCATCAAAAAATTTTCAAATGTTTCCCATGCGGATATTGAAGTTTTAATCGTATTGGTGGGCATATTTTTTAGTGCTAATTTCAATATTTCCGTCACTAAATTCAATTTCTTCCTGTTCAAATGGTTGATTCTACTGATGCTTCAGTCACCACCTTCAACAGCAGAATGAAAAAATTGTGATTTCGAATATGAAAAATGAAATTGCAGTAAAAATTTGCCCAGTTGGATTTTTGGACCATATTTATGCGAAAGTTACACGTTGGTCAAATGCAATCGTGAACTTGGTCAGGAAATGAAGGACGCCATAAAAACAGCTTGATGTTTTAATCCGATGATTTTTTTGTTGCAAACGGTTTTTGAAAAGAATATACCTGTGGCACGCACCGAAAATTCGAGGCTGATGAATGCAAAAATAAAATATCAGAACAATACAAAAGCAAGAATGTTGGCTTCGCAGTAAAACGCAGCAATCAATCAACATTAAATTAAATTTGCTCCCTAAAAATTACCTTTGTCATTCCTAACTATACGAGCACGACAATAAAACGGTCTTAAAATGAGAAAAAAATGAAATCCTATAGAAGCCCAGAAATTCCTGCGATGAGAGAAATAAATCTGCGCTCGGCCAATTAATTCTATCACAACTATTAAACTCATTTTTAAATGATTTTTCATCATCATATTCAGGAAATGATCCGCAAAATGTTCTCTGATCAATATTCTTGAAAATATCCTCTTGGTCAGAGTCATAATTTTTTTTTTTTTATTCCAACCAGGGCTCTGATTAAATATTCTTTTTTCTATATTTTATTTTTAAAGTTTCGATGAAGATTCCCTTCTTCCGAGACAGAAACAAAACTGAACCCGGTTCAAGCGTTGATTTAACCACAGCCATTATCTGCCATTTCTGCTCAGCTCCAGACGCCATAAAAATGCCTTTCTGAGTCAGGGTTGAGTGAACTTCGTGCCTCACTTGGATTCATCACGCAGATGCCGTAAAGGAACCGCGAAAAAAAAGGCAATGCTGTACAAGATAAAAGAGAACTGGGAAGACAGAAAGGACTACAACAACAATAACAACAAAAAAGAAGGGAAAATGACCGAGAATGAGATTAGGTTCGCAGCAGCAGCAGCAGCAGCAGCATCACATAAGACGGGTCTGTCTGCATGTTGCCAACTCTTGTGGATGCGCATGAACCACTTGAAATGCGAATATTCTTTGGCATAAATCAAAGAAAACTGAAGGTTGATTGCGGCTCTGCTGTGAAGATTTGATGGCCTCGGGGCTACTCCGGTGAAATTCAATTTCCTCTCAGTTCTATATAGAAATATTCCAAGATATGGATTTCGAAATTATAAATTCCTGGATTAAAAATATTAGATAAATTACTGGATTAAAAATATTAGATAAATTACTGGATTAAAAATATTAGATAAATTACTGGATTAAAAATATTAGATAAATTACTGGATTAAAAATATTTGATAAATTACTGGATTAAAAATATTTGATAAATTACTGGATTAAAAATATTAGATAAATTACTGGATTAAAAATATTAGATAAATTACTGGATTAAAAATATTAGATAAATTACTGAATTTTAAAAATATACTGTACAGTATTTTGCTACATCGAATTTTAAAAATGTAAATCCCTGGAATTCAATAATATACGGTAATATATTTTACTAGATTTAAAAAATATAGATTATTTGCCTTCAAAAATATACACACTATAGTACTGTAATTTAATGTATTGGATTCAAAAGAAATTGCCGAATTTTAAAAATATAGATTTTTTGACTGCAAAATTTTGAATAATGGAATTTAAAAATATACACTACTGTACACTACTACAGTACTGGAATTCGAAAATGCATTAATGAACTGGGTTTCAAAAATACACAGAACAGGATTTAGAAAATATACACATACACAGTAATGTACAGTACTGTATTTCACTAAACTGGATTAAAAATCACTGAATTTCAAAAAAATCTGAATCATTAAATAAAAAAGTAAATCAAGTACAGTAATTAAAATGAAACTTATGAATACCTGAAATCAAAGAATATGAAGCATAGAATTTCAAAAATGTGAATCACGGGAATTCAAAAATATTCTCAGATTTACTATACAGTATTGGATTTCGAAATATTAATAAGTGGACTGAAAAAAAAACCATTTTATTTAAGTGAAGTTGTTCAAAACATGCTGTAAAAGAAAAAAACTGCGCCCAAAGGAAGTAAATGCAATTTCCCAGATTATTTCCTCTTTCACAGCGTTGAATATCACGGAATTGAAGTTATTATTAAAAAAATATATTTCCTGAAATGCATACCTAAAATGGGATTTTGTTGACCCAGAATAGTCCCAAGATGATTGCACACTTTTCTGCACTTTTGCGGAGTCAAGGACTGACGCATTCCTCAATGTTGCTATATATGACTGGGTTTTTTTTGTGACTTGGAAGTATTTTCGTGCAGTTTTGCCTTTCCTTTTTTTTGCTGACGAGGAGCATGAACTTTGGGCAGAACTTCCGCAAATTTTCCTGCGCCGATCTAGGTTTCCAAACTTTTTTTTATTCCGGTCATGCTCCAGAAATACAGTATTTTATTCGAAACGATGGCACGAATACATGACCAAATTTCGATGAAAAAAAATTGTAAATCTTTTAGCGAAGGCATTTAAAATTTCACCATATTTAAAACAGCTGCAGATAATCCCTGGTGTCGAAAATAAATTTTAAAAAGGGAATTTCACGGAATAAAAAAAATGCTGATTAGGTAAAACTTTTGCTTTCCGAAAAATATGATCTTTCTTTTAATGCCATACGCATAATAACAAAATACCCGTTCTGTATAGATCGATAAACAAAATACAAATGCTATACATGCCAAGAAAATTAGAAATTCTTCATATACTGTATAGTGTATACTAAACTTACTAAAGGAATCACGAATACTTCCGATGACGAGCAAAATATTATTTCCGCAGATGCCAAAAGAAAATTATGCATGCATCAAATAGCATGTCGACATCCCGTACAACATAATGTGTACCATTGGTTGACAGAAATAAAATTTCGTAAAATGATCAAATCACACTTCTTTCCTTTACTCCAGAATTTTTCATCAAAACGAATTTCTCATCATAAGGAATTTTTTGTTTAATTATTTAAGAATTTTCAATCATAGCGATTTTGAACAACTCGAATAAATATTTCTCGGTCTCCAATTATAAAATTTTTCAGTACTGTACAGCGAATTTTTTCTCTACTGAAAATAAGTTTTTCGTTGAAAGATACCACTGTGTAGTAGTTGTGGTGATATACTGTATCACACCCTCGCAACCAAGTAAACGAGGGAGAGATACAATATTCAGGGTGGTGACAGTCATAGGTGACCGAGTCCGCAGTTGATTGTGGTTGCGAGTGTGATGGAGGTTGTGGCAGTGGTGATATATATTGCACCCAACAGCAGTTGCCCTACAATTGACACACCACCAACCCCCTTCCATCAGTACAAGCAACACCCCCCCCCCNATAGGTAGGTGAGTTCGCAAACTGCGATTTCCTCTTGAATCTTTTCTTTTTTGTTGTGTCTCTCCTCCACGGGCCGTTGAGACTCGGGAATTAACAGCTTAATACAGTACAGTATATAGTACAGTATAATGGTCTGCATACATGCGGTATACCGTATTTACATGTAGTCCATGGGGAAATTCGATTCCCTTCTACATTTCATCGTGCAGAATTACACACGTCAGAGAGCTGATTCTGAAGGTGTC